TTGTCTTTATTGTGACATGTCTTTGTCTTTATTGTGACATGTGTTGAACTGTCTGTGTCTTATCATGACATGTCTCATATTCTGTCTTCTGTCCCTTACCTGTGCCGTCGCTCCTCGTCCTTCAGAACTTCATAAATGGCCACCAGCTGAAAACAAAGTGAACGTCAGCTTTTGATAGGTGAGCTACACTTTCATGTTTGCTAGTTGAGTTTTATGAATTTTTGGTATTGTTGTTATTGTTTGCAGGTGTTTTTATTGTTCGAGTTGTTGTTGCTGTGTTTTCTCACCTGTCTGAACTGAGTTTCAGCATTTTCGTTTTTGTTCTTGTCAGGATGCAAAATCAGGGATAGCCGACGGTATGCTTTCTTTATCTCTGCTGCAGACGCATCCTGAGAGACAAGAGAGACACAGGACAAAAAAGACACAAGACAGGAGAGACAAGGGACAACAGAGACACAGGACAGGAGAGAGATTGGACTCTTTTAGTGGATTAAAAGTCACGATAGGACCTGGACCTGTGTGAGGGACACAGGGTCAAATTTTCATCCTAATGAAACAAAAGATCTCTGGATCAATGTTCTTTGGACACGAGACAAAAGGACAGATGTTTACCCAGAATGCACAGCAGAAAACAGCACAACAACTGTTAGCATGGTGGTGGAGGGCCCATGGTTTGGGGCCTGGGTTTCGTCAAGTCATTGTTTTATATTTAGCAGGGGTAGACAGAACCATTGTTTAGGTTGTCCGAGACAGCCTATTTTCATTTCGAACAACCAGACCCTGTCTCCTGTTGTCCAGTGGACAACCAAGAAAAGAAGACCTTGATTAAAGTTCTCTGCCGTGGGTGTCCGTCATTTGTAAAAATGAAAGGGAGAAAAAACTTGGTAAAACCAAGCAGAACACTAAACTGTAACTTTTAATAAGGTCATGTACACAGTATACTCATATTTAAGTGAAAATGTTTGACCTATGAGCAGAAAGAAGTTGATGAATGTTGGTAACCTCTAGATTTTATTAGCAACATTTTTGCTGCTTTACTCCCTGAGCCTTAAATACTTTATTTAAAAGAAGAGGAAGTTTTATTCACACAGATCCTGTCAACCTGGCTGACTGAGAACAATTATATATAATAAACTTTGTCTACAGAACAATATATTGGTTAAATTACATTTTTCTTGAGATTCTTGCGGACAACCAGGTTTTGTCAATAGGTTGTCCGCTGGACAACCTGAAAAATATCCTTGTGTCTACCTCTGGTTAGGATGTCTCTTTGATAAGGCAATTGGAAATCTCTGGTTTTAATCGAAGCACACCTTGATTAGCTTCTTCTACAGCAGGGATCATCAATTCCGGTCCTGGAGGGCCGCAGCCCTGCATGTTTTACTTGTTTCTCTGCTCCAACACACCTGATTTGAATGAATAGAATATTATCAGGCTTCTGCAGAACTTAGAAGAGGTAATTCACTGACTGAATCAGGTGTTTTAGAGAAGGGAAAAAGTCAAACATGCAGGGCTGCGGACCTCGAGGACCATAATTGATGATCCCTGTTCTACAGGTTCTCAACCAACAAAACCAAAGAAGCTTGCAGCATCATTAAGAGCGTTACAGGCCCCACAGTGTTCCAGCATCAGTAAGAGCAGTACCTTAGATGGTCTTGTTGGTAATATTACAACTTTAATGCAAACCTCTCTTAATGAAATTGCTCCACTGAAAAAGAAAGTTATTGATCGGAGGAAGCCGACTCCTTGGTTTAATTCAGAGTTACGTTCTTTACAATTGATCACAATATTTTATTACGTAGACTTGAACTTGATATTAGGATTACAGGAACAGCTCTAAAATGGTTTGACTCTTATTTAACTGATAGATTTCAGTTTGTTAATGTTAATGAATCTTCTTCTTACACCAGAGTTAGTCATGGAGTTCCTCAGGGTTCAGTGCTTGGACCAAACCTCTTTATTTTATATATGCTTCCATTAGGTAAAGT